CTTGACTAATACTGAATTTCTAATCTAGTAGTGTCTAATCAGCTTAGATGGTAAAGAGTTACCTAAAAACATAATGGTGTCAGTTCTGCCAACATGAGTGCTAAGCATAAGCAGTTAAAGTCTTTTAGACTTGAATGCTAACATTCAGGGCTTCAGTCTAGGATAACAAGGAGGCCATGACAAATTCTAGTGACAGAAGGCAGTTGTTAGCTATAACATACACAATATATGAGAACACATGTACCCAACCTTCAGAGTATCATCAGAAAACGTTTGTGATGCTGGATGCAAAAGCTATCCCTTCATATCTGTCATTCCAGGCAGTAGGAACCCTACAATGGGGCTCGTACACTAAGAAGCTGAAATGCTTGCCACCATGCAACATGAATAAAGTGGACAACAAATCAGTACAGTTAGTATGTGAAATGCTATTGCAGATATCTAAGTGACTACTCAGCCAGACCAAGCCCCTCTGCAGGAAGACACATAAGCAGTATTATATACAGTCCCAGGGAAGGTACTGTTTTTCTTACAGACTAGAGACAATATAAAACAGAAAAGGTGGAAGTGAACTCAGTTCTGACTCTGTAACTCATGGGTTCATTCTCCAAATGCCTGTAATTGCTGGTTTGGGTTTTCAGGGGTTTGGTTTTGTTTGGGTTTTTCTAAGCAGTTGCATATTCCAGAAAAACTATGAGGATACTAAGTGAGCAAAACAATATCAGGTTGGAGTTCTTCACACTAGAATTTATTCTTAAAAGTTAACCTCAATTTGTGTCTGTCAACAGCTAAAGCTCAAGTAAAAAAAACTTGTGTTCAGCTAAAGCAACTCAAGATTGCTATGGACAGTCCCACTACAAATCAAACTTGGGACAGGGAATCTTAAAGCTCTCAGATAACTTCCCTGTTCAAATCAGAACACGGAAAGTCATCCACACCTTTATAGCAGATCTTTTATAAATGCACAGAAGGAAATCAGTTTTGTAAGTTTATTTTCACAGAATTATTTTCTGTGCAAGATATAGACCAATAAACAAAGCAAGAGTCGGATGAAGATGTCTCAGTTGAAGACAGTAGCCCCAAAAGGATATTAGAGTAAATGAATCTTCAGAAGCCCAACAGGAGACAACTGGACAAACAAACCTTATTTTCTGGATTTCAGGATGCACGGAGGAAGTTGTCATCCATCAAGTTAACGCAGAAATTGCAGAGAAAATTAAACAGACACAGGTCTGTAACTTAGCTCTTTTTCTCTTTATAGCTATGCAATGTGTGTATATTATCAAAATTAACAAGACTAAGAAGGGTATTGATGGGCAGAAAAGTTAGCAAATGTGATAATGCTCATGGATTTCACAAGTTTTAAGAAACTCAAGAGTAGTTACCTACAAGAGTAAGTAACTACTAAGAGAAGCTGCCACACAGAAAGAGCTTCCATCAAGCTTCTCTCTGTAAAAGAAGCTGTCACATTAGAAAGAGATCACTTGTCAGCCTACTCTGAGACCAATTTGGGGGATAATTTCATTTAGTCAGTCAACAACACAAGACAGGTGAGTGTCTTCTAATTTGGGCTTGCTTACTTTGAAGCCTGGATTGCTACATTGCAGTTTACAAGTGTCAGTCCTTAACAGAAGCATTAATCCAGCCTTCAGGAACATACAAGTGTTAAATATCCTACAGTGCAAACACCTAACGGTGCACTTCAGGGATCACTGTAAAGACTGCTGCTATAAAAACAGAACTCAGCTAAGCCAAAAAAAAAGCTTGGATGTACTCGCCAGTCCAAGGAAGACCAATTCACCGGTATCATGTAACTACAGAAGAACTGCAGTGTTATAACAGATACAGAGATACTCACAGTATAGGTGGATCAGTAGGTCATAGCTGATTGATCAATTGTGTTAACAGACCCACAGCATCAGTAGCTCTTGCTTAACTAGAACTGCACACACTTCTTGTAGCCTTAGCTGATACAAAAGCAACTGTTGAGACTAAAGAAATCAGGAGAACATTTGCTTGGCCCTGTTAATGTTAACATTAAGCCTAAAAGGAATAGTACATGCTTTGTGCATGCTCTGTTTATCGCAGAGTTAAACTAAGTTTGACAACACTGAAAATGGTCTTTCTGAATAATCTTAAATTACTAACTAGAAAGTTCTTAACTCTAAGACATTCAAGGCACAAAACACTGCTTGTTTTGAGGAGCAGCCTCCAACTGAAAATGGAATTGCATGCCAGAGACAGCTGGAGCCTGGATGTTGATCCATACACCCAAGTTCATTTGAATGAAGCAGCTAAATGTTGTCACAAACAAAACAGATTTCTAGCAGAATGCTAGAGACACTTCAGAGAACTAAACAGCAGCAGCCTCAGGGGTTTACAGTTTCACAGAAACTGTATATAGAGAAGATTCAGAGGCACTGTCATGCAAAATATTCCGTATTTCAAGAGACAGGACAGAACTCTTAGTGAGGCAAGGGATAAGAAGCAGGTCCATCCAATAAAATTCACTTCCCTCTGTATGAACAGCAGACAGTCACACTGTTCAAAGCAAAAATGAGTTGGCAGAATACTCAGGTAGGGGAAAGCAAAGGTGCCTAGGGCTGCCTGTGGTATGTGTTAAGGTCTCCTTCGTCCATTTCTTTTGCATCTTGGAATGACAAAATAAAGGTCTGATGTTTCTATTCCCTCTAATAATCCTCATATGCAGCCTTGGTGAGACCACAAGAGGAACAGCACTTGGCCTAAAATAGCTCTTCTCCATCTCCTAAGTAATTTTGTACCTTCTCACTTAATGTCAAAAACAAGCAGCTTCTGCTGATAATGCTGAGCTAATAACATTGCACATGATCTATTCTTATTCTGCCTCAAGCTTCATAGCCACAGCTGTCAGCTAAATTCCGAGGTTGAACCTGTATCACTAGTAAGTGAAAAAGATAATTCCTTCTTCCTGTGCCCCAGCTTCCAGACTAAGTTTACAAAAACATTAGGGGCACTAATAATTGACACCAGTTAAAACAAGTGGCTTGTTGTTAGTTTTAAGTTCCCATATTGCACTGAACAAAAACGGTGTTGCTAGAAGCTTCACTCCTATTCTGCTCTTTCCTTCTGTTCTCCAAACTCCCTTGTGTATTTGCTAGGAGTTTGGCACCATAACTTGGACTTCAAGCAGGTTTTTTTTGGTATCCACAACACGTGTCTGATTTATAAGAACCAATGATACATCTGAGGCCTGAAAAAATAAATTTCAGGCAGCATATGAATTAGATCTAATAGCCTGACACAAAGTTGAATACTCAGCTTCAGCAGCTACTGTTCGACACCAAAATTCAACAGAATTTTAAATAGGCAAGAAGTACTGCAGCTCCAGTAAGCTTGAGGAACCTCCCAAGCTGCCACTGAAACCCCCAAGTTTAAATCCCAACACTTCATGTGCAATAGGTTTTCTCAAAGCTGTTCAGACTTCTCAAACTCAGATTTAACTCTGAAAGCTACCTATGAGTTCCATATGCTCCAGGTTTCCAACAACTTAGCAAATACTATAACAACACCAAAGCATCCTAAAAGAAATGTGTCACCAATTTTTTTCTAACAAACAGCATATGTCTTGAACAAGCCCCACAAAAAGCAGCACTAACGCAGCTTTAAAGGAGGTAATGGAGGCATTGGTTCAGCAAGAAGTCAATATACCAGGCACTGCTTCTGTGTGCTATGTTTGGGGTTACATGGTTTTAAGACTCTGGAGAACAATGTTTCTGCTCACCTGTAGGTAATGTCACATGTCAACATTTCACTGCTTTTTTCACAAATTATTTTTTTTTTAATTCCTGGATTAGCATGGCCTACCAGCTGTTAATCGAGTTCAAAACACATGCACACATTAGAAAACACTGAACAAGTCTTCAGCATTTGAAACAGTGAGGAGGGTACTGGATTTAGTGCTACTCATTTAACATAACTTAGAAGCATTTTTATGGACAAGGCAACAGGTCAAATGCATATGAATTGGGCAAACGTAAAAACACATCGTGTTCATTCTGCACACACTTTCAGCCTCTGAAATAAAAGCAACTGTGTCTTTAAGTTTATTTTGAATTTTCAGCTCAAAAAAAAAATCTTTCTATACAAAGGGAAAAAATTAAAACACTGAAACCATTGCATTTAACAACATAAAACTGTAATTCTACTCCCTTCTTCCAGTCTCATTAATTGCAGTTCCTTCAATGCATTAGATTTGATTGTTAAAATAGTTTTTAAAAAGTGAACATAAGGTGGCAGAAGCTACAGCTAAATTGGACCCTTACACTTCAAACAAAAAAAAGCATCTCTCCTGTCAGTAATCCCACTGCTCAAGGAAGATCCTGAAATTCTAGTACTTTTGTCAGATACACTTGGATAACCATGACTAGTAATCCCATTTTGGGCCATATACATAACTATCAGGTACATGTATCTGTTACGTGATTAGTGAAATATTTCAAAAACAGCCACCAGAAATCTCCTTAGCACAACTGACAGTCACAGCTAATCCTCAGAAGAAAGCAGTTACAGCCTTCTCTCCTCCCACCTTTGAGGCCTGTTTCCCTGTATTAATATTGGTTGAAGCTAAAAATATCCTTGGCACATCATAATTCTATTAGCATTCTGACACCCAAGTGCTTTTTTCCTTTCTGTAATGCATCTGCTCTGCAACAATTTACCAACAGCTTTAAGCATATCAGCTGCAAGCACAGCTGAACTTGATTTCTAAGAGACCAATTTAAACAAGAAAAATAAATGTTTTTCCATTTATATGCTTATTATTTAAAGCTATCTGTTGTCTTCTGCTAAAAGCCCAGAGGCCTGTAACATTGGCTTGTAGCCAACACTAGATTAGAAAGATTTACTGAATACATAGTGACCTTTTGCTCTAAAGTGTTCCCAAAGCTGTTGTTCTTAATTCTGTCCACCCCCAGTTCAGTGTAATGCACAACAAAAGCAGCTGCCCATTGTACAGTTACCTAGAGAGAAGCATCTCTTCCAGCGATGGCACAGAGACATGATGTCCGTTCCTTCTTGCACTGGCTGCATGGAGATGAAAACAGCAGTAGTCCTTCAAAGATCTCTACAGCATTAGCAGGTCTCAAAGCTGATTAAAGTGATCCCCATGGTAATCTGTGAAATATATGTTTGCACTTTCAAACTGCTCTGCATTGGATTCACAGAAGGCAAGTGTGCAGTAGGTGTCTGCGTATACCCATGAACAAAGAGACAGCTGTGGCTTTCACTGAAACATTTTAATATGTTTCAAAAAAAAAAAAAAAAAAAAAAAAAAAAAAAAAAAAGGGAAATTCAGCATTGTATTTCAGCACTTGAAACAATGACCTGCCCAGTTCCTCAGCTGTTGACACACACACACCCTCCCCACTAGGTTTCAAAGCACAATTTCTCAAGTGAAATCCTAATACAAAGATACAGTAGAACTCAAGTTCTGTTCCTACCAGAGATGGTATCTGTGAGGTTACAGGTCATTATACCTGCAGAGGTGAATGGGTCTCTAAGGATTATTTTTAATTTACTTTCCCTTGCCTGTGAGCAAGGTTAATAGCAAAGTATTTTGGCTGTGAAATGAAAAGGTTAAAAACTATTTCAGCTATCACTTCAGCTAATAAAAAACCCTCTCCTTTAAGAAAGGAAATAGTAGTTTTCATTTGCTTTTTACCTGTAGTAACCCCATGAGTATGTGTCTCTCTTTAGAGTCACATGTACTTATGTCAGATGCACCTTGGATAACCATGACTAGTAATCTTATTTGTGGGCCACATATATCACTATCAAGCACTAAGAACCGTTTTCCAGGGTCCTTCCTCCCCGGCAGTCTGTCTCCCCTTCTTCCCACTGCCTCACTCCAAATTATTTGTTTGCTTTTTGGATAGGGAATAGAAAACTTAAAACCTCAGAAGACAGTCATAGGAGGAGGTAAAGATTCAGCTTTTTGAACTGTATCAGAAGCAACCATGCCAGCAAAGTATTAGATCTGTAGAATAGTTCCCTGTGGCCATAGGCCTACTTGAGTGGTGCATCTGCTATTTTTAGCAAGGGAGTAGAGTTATGCTAGGACAGCTGTGTACTCTGAGAAAGCCAGACCACATTAGCAAGGAAAGAAGACAGGAACCACCACTGGCTATTAAGTACCAACTGCACCTTGGCCAGTTCAGTCTTTCTGAAGCTACCAGCACACTAGCATTACACCATCAGCTTGGGGGTTTAGTTCTGTTCATGCCTGTGCAAAGCCAGACTCCACATATGAGAGGTATATCAAGCCCATCTCTTTCATGAACACAAAGCTACATGGAGCAGAAAATCAGACATGACCTGACAACTGGCACCAGTAAGGCTGGCAAGAGATAATCACGTAAGGGATATCAAATAATTATGAGCAACATAATGACAGGAAACCATGGAAGACACTGCTAGCTACAAGTAAGTGCTTTTTTCCTCAGGAGAGGAAGGTAGTTCAAAATTTTAGGTGCTCTTATCCTGCTTTCATTAGGGAAGCATGTTGCATAATGCATGAGGAAAACATCTGAGAACAATGCTTGAGAACATTATCTATTCCCTACACAGATGAATCCATGAGTAGATAGTATTGTATCCGCTTTTCCTCTGCATACAGTTGTACTTTAACTTCCTTACTAAAAAATGGTAGAGAGCTTTTCCTTCTGCGGGGAGTAAGAGATTTGTGCTCCCCAAAGACTACTCTGTAGAGAAGTTTAAGCTGCTTAACACGTAGACTTCAGATTTCCAGCCACTCCTCTGCCCACACCCTCAAATACATGACCACTTCACTATGTGCTGAACAGCTGTAGCACCTTCATTCCACACAAAGTGACTACTTGACTGTGTATCTACCGGTGGTGGCCAGCAAGGCACCTTCCCTAAGCACAGTCGATGGGACGGGCAAAGAGAAATGCAGTACAGCACTGGAAACCAGCACAATGCCCACAGCCACAAGCAGAGCTCAGAATCCTGCAAGTTGTTAAAAAAACAAATTTCGCCCAATTAATAACTTGCAATAAAGCAAATATCTCTTCATTCTTTATACTTCAAAATGGAAAGCCAGTCAATACATCGGACAAGTTTCTGGCAAGCCAATAAGAAGGACTAAAAGCCAGAAACCAAACACCACAACTGGCTTAAGTGCATTTGTTCCTACTCTAGTGACTCCATGAGTACTGGCCACAAACCACACTAATTAGCAATTACTCAAGTCTTGTAGCAGCTAATGATTTCTCAAGTCTGGAATGTACTTCTTTACAGTTATATTTAGACATAAATTATATTTGTTATATAACTATTTGGATTCTTAGTACCTTACAGCAGAAATAGGACATTTTGTTTAAATATTAAGTTAGAAAGCCCACATTTGAATAATTTCAAAATGGATTTGGTATCACGAAAATTCATGGGATTTTTGTTGGGATAAACTGACAAGTTCTCCACTAATTACACCTCATCATCCCACCCAATATTAGTTTAACTGCTATTTCATTCTAAGATGTTAAAAAGCTTTAGCATGTCAACTCCAAACAGATTGGTGGGGGTAGCATCTACTCCCTTCTGTCTGAGGCTGCTGAATATTCAGAATGGCTGAATATTAAAAAATAGCATCAGTTTCTCACACAGTGTGTTCAAATGATTTAAGATAATTGTACTGTTGTATCAAACCCCACTAGTTCAAGCTCTGTTTTCCTAGTAAGGAAATCAACTTTACAAATGCAGGTAGCAAGCAGGGTAGTAACTGCTACTATCACTTGCATTTAAGAGTATTTTCCAGCCAAGAGTTAAGGCATAACCAATTTCTGTTTATTGTTCATAGTTGGATGTTGTTTAAGTTCAGAAACCTGCTCTTTGCCCTCCTCCAGTATTCATGCTTTTAAGATTTATATAAAGTATCTTTTCAGAGAGTCCTGAAGTAAAACTTGAATTGAGCACCAGTTTTACTCTTTCGTGATGGCAAACATTAACAGATGTGCATAGAACTGCCTGCAGGGTCATGAAAACTATTCTTCTAACAGGCATTTGTTAATAATGAAACAGTAGCTGTAGGTTCTCTTTTAAATATATTTCCCTAGCTTGTATAATCAAAGATTCAGGTTCCCTACCATAGACTGGGAAGGGAATTAATTCTTAGAGCAGCTCAGCAGCTAGGGAGACCTCGAATAATTTAGTATTTGAGAATGTAACCTCAAATAATTTACTAAGAGAATTTTCAGTTTTTATCAGATCATCTCCAAGCTATTGATAGCATGCCGTATATCAGGAAATAGTAAACACATGTATACAAACACATGCAGTACAAACAAGAAAAAAAAAAAATCAATTTCCAGCCTCTTACTCTGGGCTATAATGTTGTTTGAGTAAGATTAAGGTCACTTAATCTTGATGACATTAGTGATGAGTCAGCTAATTCACGCTGATGGAATTTTAATGGCAAAAACTATAACAATTTTGATTTCATTATTGTGCATCAAAGTCCATCCTGCCATAAGATCTACAGAGGACTCAGCTTTTTACATATCTATTCTATTTATTTAAATAAATATTAAAATCAGTAAATCTGAGCTTCATCACAATCTATTAATCCTCTAAAGGATACCTTCCTATATTCCCCTCTCTGAAAAAAATTACTTCAAATACTTCCTTTTCAAAAGGCAAAGGGAAGAAAGGAAATCCCAAGTGTTTTTTCCAGAGCAAAATGAGAGCCTGAAAAAACAGCCAGGTTATGCTACCTTCTGTTTTGTGAGGCATGCTTTGACTAGCAGTAAAGGTATTTTGTCCCATCCGCTAGCAGTCTTTTGTTTCAGATCAGTCTTACAGCAACCAATAAGTTTCAAATTTAAAGAAAAATAATTTACTGCAGCTTGGAGAAGTTTTGTAGTTTGAATAACTTAGTCTTCCAAGTTGTTGACTTCTCTTGTAAGAAATCCAGCAAGGTACTAAAACATTAATTCATTTCAAGAATGACTTCAAGCCTTAATCTCAAGAAGTACACCAAATCCCACAACAGAGAGAGTATTGTGGCCTGAAGCCCCCACAGCTTGTCTGAAAGAAAAGCATCTTGCTGAAGTATGATTTTTCATTACTATTTACAAAAGTGCACCATAAAACTAGGCAAGCTCTAAGGATAAGAATGATGTACACCTACCACCGAATTTGTGCTGCTTGCTTACTACTCACTACATAAGCATGCATGCTTAGAGACTTCTTATGGGACAGCTCTAAACACTGTCCCATCTACACACACTCAAGTGCAGCTATCATCTTAAAAAAACGCATTTTCTAAGACACCAACATGCAAAGGAAGAGAGAACAAGTTTTCAATAAAGCTACATTTCTTCCTAGATTAGCTTGGTACTACCTTTAGCCAGTGCCCTTGATGTTTACAAAGTGCTTTTCTTTCCGGAAACTATTGTTTATCAAGCAATCACAGTCAAAATTAAAGCACAAACCATAAATTTTATCATTATAGAAAACATGAAAGAGTATAACAGTCACTCATATTCCCATGCTAGTGGCTAGAAAAAGAGGCACCTCCCAGTATTCAAACGTAGGAGACGCAGAATCCTACTGTAAACATGCCTTCTGCAACGTTGCCAACATATGATATGACAAAACTTGGGAGCTAATTGCACCTCTGAAGCCACTTCTGTACTTGTACAGCAAGACCACCCCTGCCATGTATATTAGGAATACAGCTTTGTCAATCAAAGTAATCTATGACTTTCACAAAGACATTCAAGACTACCAGAGAACAGTTCTTCAAACGCTGATTAACAAACACTACTAGGGGAAAAAACCTTGCAGCAGGAACAGATTAGTTCTTAGATTTTACTAGCAGGACAACCAACTTCTCACTCACTGTCACTGGATCTCCTTTCCAATTAACATGAAAACCAATGCACAGAAACCCAGCCTTTAAATAAATAGGAATAATGTCTCATACATCTGTTATCTAAAGATAATACTAAATAATCATAGTGAACTATTTTCAATTTTGTGAACTAATACCCTTCCACCTAGCTTGTGTTCTACTAACTTGGACCACCAAAACAAACTAAAATAGCACGACTAT